AGCTTATTAAACTCAGTTTGAAACCAGATTATATTTACTATTTTAGTCCGAATAGAGTCGATAATGCGAAAAGTCTAAGAATAAAAATATATGGGTATCATGCATCATAGTAAAAATAATGAAATTTAGATATGTACTGTGCCAATAATTATTTTTACATATTTGTATATGTATTTCAAATATGTGTGTGGGAGTGTTTTAGGGTATAAAAAGATAACATGTACATTGAGAACGATAAAAATAATTTTTTTCAATGAGTCCAATAAGCGTGGGATAATATATATAATATATGATCACTATTATAACTGTAGTAAGTTTTGCTCAAACAAACATTTGCGCACGACTTACTGTGCCCGTATCGACATTATACGACGACGTTTAATGGGTTTGCGTATCACGAGATCGACAAAAAGCGAGATGCGTGATTTTTGTCGTCCGTATTGAGATATTCATCGACAGATAACCTCAGTAATTATAATAATACGGTAACACTCATACGATTACGTATTTCGACAATGGAGCACGTTCGCGTCTTAAACGATCATAGTTTGTGTCGAGATACACACGACGATATAGCATCGAAAACCTTAGTCACGTTGGTGAGACGGGTGATAGGGGGCGAGATTCACGTTTCGATAGACATCAAAAAGATGAAGATCATGAGCGAACCTAAGCAGCAGACGACCTACAACGATGGTCGGGGGTGAGGTGAACTCATTTCCACCTCCGTCGTATTCACAGGTATAATAAGCGTCCTACATACGGGCATTAACAATTAAATAGCGAAAACACGAAAATCTTTTTAACGTTCACGATGCGTAAGTGGATCACGGAGCCCGGATTCGTGGAATATGTGTGGGCAACGCGAGTGGGCGCCGAGGGTATTTGTCGTCGTCGTCGTCGTCGCACGTGTGTCCCCCCCCTCTCTGATTCCGTCGAGTCAGAGTGGCGTTTAACTAAACGAAAAAAGTTTTTCACTCTGCCGGAGGACCGACGATAATTGACCCGACTGCGAACACCCCCCATGGCTAACGTGATTAAGAATTACGACACTATACCAACTTCCTCACCAAGCACACACCTCTCGAGATCCACACGCGGAGCTGAGTCAAAAGAGCGAATATCAGGGCGTCCGATACTATGAAAATGATAACCATCGTCCATCGACCCCAAATTCGTGCATGTACAAACCATCCACTTTCTATCTTTGTAAATGGTAAGTTTGACGAAATACCATACATTTAACAAATTAATATGCTGAATAATAGGAAATAAAGTAATGCGAAAAATTGCGCAATATTGCAAGTCTCCACAGTAAGCATGCCAATAACTGCCCTCATACAAAAATTACCGTTCATAATAAACACAACAAAGTACGTATATCTTCTGTTTTGGATTACACACGTTATTGTTGTAACTAAATAATATTCAAATATCAATAACAGCGTGGAGTTCCACACTGGTGGAGACACCTATTCATTGGTGTACCGAAATCATCTATACAATGCGCCGTTTAAAGGATATACATTTAATGATATTATTATGTACCACAACCAACGTGTTAGGAGTACAGTAAACATTTTAATTTTTGTTTTTTACGTTGTCGAGGTGAGAATGATACATCAATTAAAAGTTATTTAACTAAAATTAAGCAATAACGCATAATTACCTAATAAACACCGTTAGGTTAGTTCGTACATTTTTTCAAAAAATATTTTAATAATATCAATAGGCAAATTCTGAATAATTATTTAATTTTTTAAAAACCATATTTTGAATAAATACATTAACGCATTATTTAAATACTCTTGTTTATAAAATTATACGATATTATAATATGATGGTATTGGATGTTTAATGATTTAAACATTTAAACATTCATTTACCACTTAAATAGTATTAAAATTTGGTTATTAAATGAATTCACTTAATAACGTTATTGCATAAATTTCACTGATTGTAGGGTATAGAATTAAGAAAATGCGATATATTATGTCAACAAGTAAAATGTTATATTATTATCTATGTACCTTTTTTTTTTTTTTCCCCCTTCTGAAACCGGGAACGGGTGGGAACTGTTTAGCACAATACTGCCACCCAATCTATGTACCTATGTGTTTACGTTTCACAAATCAATTTCCTCACAACAAGTTATGCTTTCTGTGTTATTTTAAGCAAACCGTTTTCTTCATATATATATAAATACTATGTAAAGTAAAATTTCAGATCTAATTAATAATTTAAAAAATATGTATTATTACTATCGATATTAGATACTACAGGATATTGTAAATTTTTAAGAACTGTGACCTAAATGTAATATATTAAGCAAATATCAAATATTTAAGTAGGAATAGATATTAAATAACCAGGTAGATTGATCGTCTAACCTCACTATTTTAGTAGGAAGATAAATAAAAAAATTTAGTGACACATCAACTGTCTAAAATTAATGTGTGATTAATTAATGCGATGCGTTGTAGTTGTAACATATGTTATTATAATTTTTTTATTTACATGTCCAACCATAGATTTCAACACGTTTCTATAATATATTATTGACTTCATAAAAGAATTTTTCATTTGGATCCGACCAGATGCGTTTATACATTTTTGAAAGCGGTAAAAAGTTTTTCATGCATCAGATATACTTTAACAACTAATTTTGAACAATTTCAAATTATTGTGGGAATATTATAAATTATTATTTTAATTATATGAAATATTATACAACGTTCGTGAAATATTTTCTTCCACTTCATAGTATTATGCGTAGGCAGTTGCAGTGAATATTTATAACTACCACTCCCGAGCTTTTTCAATAGTTATTATTTCTAAAGATAATACAAACTATGTGGAAATTTAAATGTTTTAGAAAAAAAAAATATCTTAAAATTTGATTCGATTTAATTTCGGCCCCTGTTATTTACACAATAAAATGAACACTATGAAAAATAAATAATGAAGTAAAAATGTTTCTAAATTAAATTTTAGTGTATAATTATTATTATCGCATCTTCTAAGCAAAAATAATTATCATATAACTGATTTGAATGAAACGTTTTCTTTGTTTGTTATATAAGTACTAAGTAGTTATAATGACTGATAACTTAGGTATGTATAAATTGGTGTGAATGTATTCGATGATGTATACTCAAAGTACTTCAAAAGTATAGGTACTTTATAAGTACAACTTTATTTATTTATTATTTATAATATATTATTATTGAAAAAACAATATTTGTATTATCAAATTATTACTTTTATTTATTTTAACTTAATGTATCGTATTTTACGCACTGTACATTATTACTTACATAATGTTCATTTTGGCGATTAAAATAACTACAAGAAAGTGAATTGGAAATATTCAGGAAACCGAATACATGATGTTTTTATACTAATAACTAAAAATATTATTTGACAATGCTAAGACGTGATTTTATATTTTTCCATTTTCAGAGATTGTTGAATTGATTAAGCTATAGGAGGTACCTACAGTTAAAGTTATTATACATTTTATCTAGGTATATGTTGTATTAAAAGACGCGTTGAGTATTTTGTATGATTTAGAATCGAATTGTGAGGACTCGAGAATTTAATTTAACTTGACGGTACTCACTGTTGATATACTCACAACGATATATGGCAGACGACTGACTATCAGTCTTCGTGTATTGGGCCTCCTCAATATCACATTTATTTGGATTGCATGACATAAATAAATCAGCAAACAATAATGTCACGAATTATTTGCTTACAAAACATATCAAACGGTATAGAATATTTAAGTCTTGATATGAATTCCGTTGCGAGTTTGAGATTGTGCAACAATTTAAGGTGATTCATTACAAATTGATATGAGTAATTCAACATTTACTATCGAGACCAGAAACCTAAAATGGTAAACAGCTGTGAATACTTGTACAAATAATTTAATAGCAACGTGTGTAAATATATTATATTTTCTATATTTACTCTCGTAATCTACCAAACTCCCACCGCTCTACTAAAATTCTCACTCCACGTTTTTCGGAAATATTGCACCGAGGGCGACGAGGGGGGAAAAACCGAGACCCATCCGTTACGCGACGAAATGCGCGGGCGCAATAAGTCTATTTTTCGTAAGTCGTCGACTACGACGAGGAAATAATAAATTATCCGAATCCCTCTCGACGGGTATTCGTTTTAATTTTGTCCCGCACCGCAATCCGGCTGGCGGTGCGGGTCCATATTATACTTAACGAGGTCTCGTATAAACTTTCTAATTGTACCGCACAACATCCGACTTCTTATTCTCGATCACTGTGTAGGGGGCGGTTTCTTATAATACGCATTGTACACGCGTCGCAGACTGTGGGCGGGTTGTGCGTGTGTGCATACAATAAATAGTGTGTATATACTTATACAGAATATATATATATAAGCGACTAGCGGTGGCCGGTCCGCGTCATTAATTCAACGTTCCCGCGCTGTCCGTTCAACCAACCCCTCCCACCGGACGAGAAGTGCATCGAAAGCCGTACGCGTGCACTCGTATATTATACAATTCAACGTCCCCCGAACGGATGTTCCGAAATAGGTTTGGTTATATTTTTCTTTTGTTTTCTGTTCGCGTCTTTCGATTCACTAATATACGCCCGTTTCGGGGGTGAATGGGGTGGAAGAAACCCATCGTTTACGACCATGGTATAGTTATTGAACTGTAGTTGTCGCAGTTCGAATACGGAATGCGGCTTTGTAGAGCATAATAATATAAGTGAACGACGGGACCCCTGGCCGAACGAGCCTCCGCCGATGTGATATAGGTATTCTTAAGTACTTTTATAGCATCCGAAATAAACAAAAATATTGTATTTTGGTTCTCGACGGGAAAGCACATTACTTACTCAACGGATTTTAAATGATTTGATTTCCGGATATAATTGATAATCCAAAACGCGTTCAAAGTGTAATGCATAACTAAACAACAACCACACTACCCATATAATTATACTTACAGTGAACGCTGACCGTGATGCGTTTGCTAACAGACGGAGGCACTCCGTTTGACCCAATGCACAGGTAAGCTCCCATTTCAGATCTACTGACCTTGGTCAACCGCAACACTTCACCCTGGTACGTGGTAACTGAAACACATTTAAATAATAATTTACTCACGGCTTCTGTACACTGTTTAAATATTATATATTATATGTACCTCCGCCATACATTTATCATGGTCTAAATAGGTAGATGGTAGATAAGTTAGATAAAACCTATATCCCTTATCTGGTAGATAAGCTAATAAATTAAACATACCTTAAAAAAGGAATGAAAACAATTCCATCCAATCTGGTTACATCCAGCAACAAAATATCACCAATAAAATACTTTCTAAACCTTTCAATTTCATTTTTGAAAAATAAAATGACACGGCGTAAATTTTACATTTCTAACTACACCTATGACGTTTCGTGTCAATTGCTTAAATAATCTCTTATTAGAAAAAAAGTTGTTGAATGAAATCCATAAGCAGTCCTTGAAGATGATTTTGATGTAATATTGCAGGGCATATACACTCATGGCGACCAACTCCGCAAAACTCCAATCACATTTAAAAAATAAAAATATTGATATGTCGAGTACAATTTGGGAAGGTTTTGTTCAACATCAAAGATTTAACAGTTATACCTCAGGAAAAATTCCGTGTCCACAATTTATTTTCAATAAAAACCGATATGGGGTGAGAATAGATGAATAAAAACCATTATTTTTTCTTTTGATGCACCGAGTTCAAAAAATCCATTTCCTTCAGTTCCATAGTCTTGTGTCGGCCTAAATAAATAGGATTTTACTTTTTCTCTCTCTTTCTTTCATAAGCACTTTGAAGACAAGGGAAACGCGACACCCACCAAGGTAAAGTCGTTTTTATTTTTTCCCGGAACTTGTCCAAAAAATTGATCTGATTTTTGTAAACAGAAAAACCTGTTATAAAACTGTTAAGCTGCTTATAAAATGTTCTCAGCGAATCAAATTCAATGGTATATTAAATCAGGTTTGGTCTTTGCTGTATCAGTGTCTTTTTATTTCTCTTCTGTATTACGCCGTTAATATACAGTTCAAAGCGGTTTTACGGAGATTTCCAAATAGATTATTTCGTGCACACTATAACACTATTGTCGAACTATATACAATTTAATTTCTGTGACGATGTTTTATTGTTCACCAGAAGTTAAATTGATTTTGATTTAATAATATTATTAATTTCACAGAGATTTATTAAGAATACAATAACGATTAGTTAGAAAAAAAAACTGATTTTTTATACCAATAAAAATTGAACAATAATCATTATTCATTTGAATGCATACGGAAAAGTTTTCAAGGCTTTTTATAATTATTATATTGTTTATAAATAATAATAAAAGAATCACGATTTAGTACCCTCAAAGTCAATATTTAGGTAGGCAGACACATAATATTATTACAGCAATAGTAATTGGCTAGTTTCGTCATAGAATCAATTTATAAGCGGTTCTAAATAGTCTCATTCACTACTATCCACAGACGATCGTAACCAGTAGTACGTTTCGAGTCTTTCGTCAGACGTAAAAAAAAAGTTTAAATCATAATATATCAAATGACCATTCACTACTATACACTCCATTATTTTTCCAATAAGAAACGGTCATTTTTACAACTACATTACATTAGTCAAATAAAATAATTATTTTTTACTTCATTATCATGTTTTTCATATCCAAGTGAAGCATTATTATACAAATAATTTATTTAGTCAATATATTTTATTACTGCAGGTATCTGTAAATTTAACTATGAATTTAATAATAGTTATAAGATAAGAAAAATATATTTATGTCCAATAAATCAATGGTAAAAAAAATATGAAAATATAACTTATTAATTCATCTGTATTGTACTTGTATACCACATACCCGCATCTATAAAATATCATACGAATTTTCACAGAATTTATGTTAGCTGTGCCTTGTTTATAATGACTCATAATGAAATGATTTATATTTTATACAGTATACAGTATACTATAGTAGTTATAAAGGTGAACAAGTTAGTATAGGTACAGTTAAGAGTAGTTTTTTTTTTTGCAAAGTTCGATAAACAGGATTTATGAAAAATTTGATGATGCGGGGAAAACAATGTTTTTACATTTTTTAAATATCTTTACCATACTTTAAAAGGGATTTGAAAACAATAATAAACAACTACTTCTTTCTGCCAAAACGGTTTATTTGATTTTTACTTGAATTGAAAACATCAAACCCAGACGTTTATCTTTTTCGTTGTATTTCAAATCTAAATCCGTTGTTGTATCGAGTTCTATAACAATGACGAAAAGTATTCTACAAAGAGCTAAAAAAAAGTGCCATATTAACAAGGTAAAAGGAGATCACAGTTTTAGTTCTTTACAATATGTATATATAAACCTATTTAATATAATTTACTTAAATGTACGTGTATGTGTTTATCTTATTACCATAAACCACTGTCGAATGATGTACATGAGTTATTTCGAATCAATACCAAGTCCAAAACTAACATACAGCTTATTTAGTTAACCTAATCATATTGCAGTATATAGTATTTGTTATTTGTAATGTATTTTTTCGGAATTTTCGCCTACCTTGATAAGCAAATTAATATTATTATGAATCACAAACAGTTAAGTGTGTGAAAACTAATTACTGATTTCAATATTAATTAATAGTTGTGCTGACGATGGCAGATACTTAAACTATAGTTACTCCACGTGGATTGGATTTGAGTGAATGTGTGTCAAATACAATACAACAATGACGAGATTATAAAATCGAAATTTTCGTTTGATCCGTCAATAATTATAATGCATTACACAAGCCTACAATAATATAATTGTCAGCGTTCGCCCCCCCCCTCCCTCCCACCAACAACAAAACGTCGCGTAGACCGGATAACAATATTCAATTATTTGGTACTATCTAAACGAGTCGTCGACTGAGTAAGGCTCAAATAATATAATATGTACCTGCATACATGCATATGTGTAGATGTGTGTACGTGTGCTTGTGAGAGAGAGTATGGATAACTTTTTGAAAGGAGTTTGGTTAAGATTATTGAACCGTGAAACCCATTAAAATTACCTATATCCCGCGTGCACAGTTTTTGTTGTTTTCCGAGCAGTAGTTTTAATTAAGCTGCTTACATTCCCAAGATACCCTTTCGTTTGCAAATCAACGGCTTCCTAGCCCGATCTCCCGATTTCCTTCGCTGGATTTCCTCCAGTTTTCCACTATATTATCTACATCAATGAGCAGAAATAGTAGGTAGTTGTTTAGTAGTATTAGTACCTAGTAGTGGTAGTACTACTACTACTAATACTACTACAACTACTACTAGCAGTAGTGGTGATAATAATAATAGATAGTTTTTTTCCCTGGATTACAGACGGCAGAGAAAGCTCTGTATAGTAGGTAGTTTAATAGTTTAAGTACCGCTATTCCACGATAAAAAAAAATATAATAGTTATAGTACTAGTAATAATGGTAGTACCACTATAGGCAGCTACTGCTCGGGCCCCAGAGCACCATGGCTTCGATGGTAACTAGTGCCTAAAAAAATTATCCTACAATCCTTGTCCCAGTCCACTTGATGGCACGCGATCGATGTGAACTATAGTGGTATATTTATGCATTTTTCTATTTTATTGTGCATATATTTAGAGTATTTTTTACCAAAATTACTAATTTTCGCAACTTAAAATTATTAAAAATAAAACAAATATAGCCTGTAGCCCGCGTAAAGCAATTAGCGGCCAACATGTCATATGAAATAGTCTTATCTTCTTGATACTTTTACAGTGGTTTAGTCTCAACTATTTCAGTCGTTATTGCGACGTGTGTGTGTGAGTACATTCGTTCATTTTAATAATTTCTGAACTTTTTAAGACATATTTTGACAGGTTTTAGTGCATAAGTGCATAAATATTTAGTAATTTTTTAGGGCATGCACTTATGAGCCCTGCTTATAAGCGATTTAGTATAGGAGTTATGTAACTAGTATATTAATAACCGTAATTAGAAGGCTAGAAGACGTATGTATGGAACTATAGATCACAATTTGCGAGGACGTTACACCAGGATCAATTGTACCTGCTATGCTGAATAGTCAAGAGGATTGGTATGCAGTAGAACAGTGCATTACTCAGGTAAGGGGCACTAAATGAAAATGGTGAACAGCAGGAACAAAGAAATCACCATGGGCAGCCAAAGTACGCGAATCATTGATAAACCTACCGTAAGGTCCTGAACAAAACCGTTACTTGTAAATTATTGAGATAATAATATTCCGTCATTTTGTAGACTATAGTGTTAGTTATACTCGCTGTCATTGTAAATAATGTACGAAGTTATGGAAATAAATAATGAAGGTCCGACGGTAAGGTAAGTAGACAGTCCTCCCCTGGAAGATTCAGGATAAAAATAAAGTACGTAAAAGTCATAGTAACAGTAATAGTATAGTACTGGTATTCTGAAGCCTTCAAAGTCAAAGCAGTAAACATCATCAAACGCGTATTTATTCATATTCGATTAATGTAGGAAATTAAAGCCTTTGGTCTAAAATCTCGTGCTTACAAGCATTCTTACCCCTACCCATGGCTCCAGATATTTAGCCAGTCTTGAATTGTCTGTTTCTTTTATCCTTTTTTCCTGGGCCACATATACTGCGTACACGATCTGCAAGTAACTACATGAGCATTACGGTATTAAAATACACTCTTGCGAATAACTAAAAACTCCGTCAAAAAAAATGTGTAAACCTTATAAAAAGATTCAAACGGTTCACTATACTTATGTAATTTGGTTTCAATGAAGCATTAAAACGAAATGGTTTATCAATTATTTAATATATTAGTTTATAAACGACTTGGAACTTTTCTTTTTTGGGCCTTCCCTTGAATTTCTGCGATCGTATTACTATCAAATTTAATGGTCACTTTTTCAAATCGCATTGGAATATAATAAAAAGCTCAGTAAAAGAGAAAAAACACACGGTGGTCACAATCAATAATTATAACAATTTAATAATGTAAATGAATATTTTCACTAACTCGTCATGTATCGATTAAAGA